CGATTAAAACACAGGAGCAACAGAAGGCATCAAAAACAAAGACGTCTCTTGATTCTTGATCCATTTCTGTAACGAAGTGAATATCGACATTGCCCCCGTCTTTGTAATCAATGGGCTAAACGACGCGTAAATCTCGAAATTGGGAGATGCCTTTTTTGTGCGTTACAATTGATCACCAAAGAATCATCAGTAACCAAGTAATAAGAACAAAGATATCAAAACTTACCCATCCTAACACCGCCTCAGCCTCACCCTGACAAAACACAACACGAGTCTGTGACGAATCAGATTTATCAAACTTCCCCATTACATATTGATACATTGTCATTAACCTATGTCACAATAACAAAGCGTGATTTTAATTCTTTTGATCTAAAAATCCCATATAAACACAAAAACCAACCTCTTATAATCCTTCTTTTTGGTATATGGTGGAAACAATCCAGGTTCGGTATATTGCATTAAAGTCTTTGATCGACATACAAAGTGACGAAGACCGGGTATATTGATTTCAACTATAAACAAGGTGGTCTGTATTAGAAACTTCGTTCAAAGTTACTAATAGTCTTGGAAGCAATTTATACTTACTCATACTATATGGATCAGCATTCATAGCATCATCCAATTCATCAAGACAAGTTTCCAGACTCTGACTCCGAAAAAGAAGAAGGTACAAAATAAGCAAAACATTAGTTTCACACCAATGGACCAAAACAATGAACTCCGACAAAGTAAAAGAAATAATCGAACAACAAACCTTAACCACCCTCCCCTTAAACTCCATCAACTCAAAAAACGAATCCTTCTCATTACTCAACAACAACAAAAACAAATCAGCAGCAATCAAACAAACATAAACATGTAAAAAACCCCTATCATTAAAACCCGGTAAACAAACAGGAGTCCAAGTTTCCCCAGACTTAAAAGAACTCGAAGATAATATCATATTAATTAATAAATTTAAATCTGGTGAAGGTAAATTGTGAGATTTTGGTCGTAGTAATGTTATTATTTTTGATTTTGCCAAAAGAGTGGCGAAGATTAAGGATTTTGGTTTTGTGGAAAGGAGGATTTGACTGATTGATTGACGCAGTTTTTGAGGCATTCGGAGGGTTTGGAAAGAGTCCATTGTATAGGCCATTGATTTTTGGAAACTTTTGGTTAGTTCGTCAAAGAAGGTTTCGGTGCCTATACAATAAAGTAAATAGTATTCACCGAATTAAAACATTAAATCCAGAAAACAATTGAAGAATCAAAACATTACAAAACATTACCAGTAAGCAACTGTCTCAAATCAAAATTAACACGTTCATCAAAAATCCGTTCAAGTTGCGATCCCGTGATATTAAACAAAATCTTATCATAAACATATCCCAACTGATGTTGTAATTCGGCTTCAGATTCCATCAACGAAGCAATAACCATTAAATAAATCGGTCCACGAATTTGAAACACGATTCGACGGTCACCGGCAATCATGGATGTGATCATGTCATCTTCTGCTTCGAAGTAGGATACGATGGCTTGAACTAAGCCTGCGTATTCGGATAGGTTGGGGTGGGTTTCGTCGTCGTGTCTTTATTTTAAGAACATTATCATCAATGTTAGCACACGAAAGCTAGACAAAAAGGATGAGAAGAAAAGAAAACATTTTTAGATATACATACCTCCAATATATTGGCTTTCCAGCACTACTGAGAACCAAGAAATGTTTACTAAGAGGTACCAACGCGGCGGATGTTCTGGATTTACGTGATTTTGTAACATTGTCCATGGCATCGTCCGAGATTGCAGGAGAATGTGATCGTGGTATCAGATTCGAGTTTGCAATAATGGTAGGTGTTGGTGGGCTGGGAAAGGAATTAGAAACCCGTGGAAGACTGGTACCACTTGATGCATCTGAATCTGTTCAAGTTATTAATTGTAATAAATGAAGCGTTTAACACGAAGATGTCAACTGTCAAGATATACATACCATTACTTCCATCAACACCACCGCCACCACCACCCTTATCCAATTCAGCAACATGGTCAACAGATTTTGAAGACGTGATAGATCCACTTCCAATAACAGATCCACTATCATTCCGTCTCGATTTACTCCCACCAGTACCAGTATTAGCAGATTGAGCTCGTATCCGTCGCCCCTTATTCTTAAACCCACCAGTTTTCGAGGCACTTGCATTCCGTGAATTCCGCGTTGCATTGATCTTTTCTGCAGCAGCTATCGACAACGGATCGTCACCAGCTCCACCGATAACAACCACAGGTTCATTCAACAAGTCATCATCATCATATTGAGAACGTGCATCATTTTGATTAACATCATCGTCGTCATCATCAAACTCTTCAGATCCTAATAATGCTGATTCTGCAACCAGGTTTTTACTGTGTCTACGCATGTCTGTTGGACCACCGCTGAATGATAGGAGTGATTCGATCAGGGTTCCGGCACCCGAGAACATTGCAGCGGGGTTGTCCGCTGTTGTTGTTCCTGGTGCTGATGTTGCTGATGGGGATACCATTGCACTGGTATTTGATGATGAAGTTGAAGTTAAAGGAATGATTGGTTCTGTAGTGAGTTCTATTGCTTGTTCTTCTCCGTCATAGTCTTCTTCATTGTTGTTATTATGTCTGTGTTGATGTTGATGATGTAGAGATCTTCTTGAACCTTGTGAAGCGATGCTGTCACTTCTACTTCGTGGCATGGTTGCTATCAAGAAGTTAAGAAGTTGAGTCCATGAAAAACTTGTGAAGTCCAACAAAAAATTTTCTCTGCAGAGATGGAGATACACGCGATACACGATCCGTGTATTGTTTCTATTGGCTTTATTGTGGCCACTAATTACTCGTGTGTTATCATCAAGTAAATGACTAGGAAGAAAAGAACAAAAAAAAATAAAAGAAAAAAAAAAGGA